TGAACTTGACAGACGCTATGGATAACGGCACCCAGTTGTTGGCACACCACCGCCGACCTACTTCAATTGTTAATGTTGTTGAACCGGCCTACTTCAGGTTTACTCTCGAACCGTATTTCAATTCCAACGAAGCCAGCTTCTGCGTTTCCGCGTCTATTCAATCTTCCGCACCACAGAACCATCTTCCAAATCAGTGGACCCTAGAGACCGGGAAAACGTACAAACTGATCATCAATGTCTTTGATCAGAACAACCACAAAATTTACTCTGCTGATAATCAACGTATTGTAGTAAATTTTTCTCAGCCGAAAGTTGAAGTAACTGCATTGCCTTCCTTAAAGTCATTCCTCTAGATTGTCTCCAGTACGTCGAGTGGTTCAATGCATGTGATACGCCCACTGGAAACTGGGACAGTTACATTGAAAGCTAAATTAACAGAAGTGCTTCATAAGGTAGACAATGTCCGCTCTTTGTTTTCGTCCTATTATTCGACTTAATAAACCGATGCTTTTCGTTCGACAGTCCGGCAGAAGCATCCCCCTTGACCATCCAATTTCCGGCAGTCAAGACTTGACAATATTCTCCTCTGTCAGCCTTCTTCCTAAAAGACTGAACCTTGCGTGGAATCCCTCGATGAACGACACAATTACTGATTTTGGTGGCGCGTATACTCTCCAGCCCTCTGGCGGCAGCGGGGAATATACATGGACAGTTCTTGAGGCTTCCCAAAATTCCAAAGGACTGCATATGGAAAGTTCAACGGTTGTCATCGTTTCCAATAATGGCGAACTACTTCCCCGAGTAAGCTTTTTAACATCCCAATCGTCAGTCTTAAGTACATGCAAAATGCCGCACAACAGTTCGAATGTCAGGTGTTTTTCAAAATTTGATAGCATCTTTGTATTTGAACGAAATGTGTTTCAATTCTATCGTTGCCCCATCTTATACGCCAGTATTTAACGCAATTCTATGAGCAGTCTTAGCGTTTTTAATTTATCTAGTTTTTCTCACCTACGAAAACCCCAAAATTTATTGCAAGTACTGAGTTAACCTCGTATTCTTGCGTTTTGCCGTCATATATTGATATTTATGGCTGCTCTTCCTTTCCCTGCCTCCTATATCCTCAAAGGATATACCGTTTGATCTTTTGAAAACGATACAATTATATGGCATCGTTTTATGCTTTTCAGAATTTCGGAACGGCTGTGATAGTCGTTTCCGACCTTCGAAACCCAGCCACGTGCGCCTACTCCATTGTCAATGTATCGCCTATCTCGAATCTGGCTTTTTCACGTGGCCGCGTCGAAGTATTTTTGCCTCGCCAACCACTGTCATTGGATAGTGATCGTCTAAAGTCTGCTCTCCAGACTCGACAGATGGAAATCGACCTTGCTGATCTCACCGTCAGTTCAATTCCCAAGGCTAAGTTACGCCTTCCAATGAGCGCTTCCGAGAAAAACTCCAATGCTATTTTAACCATTGGCCTTACCGCTGTCGATGCAGATGGCAATCCTTTGACTGCATGCCATAATCTTCCAATCAGAATCCATCCTACCGATCCATCGATTGTGAAGGTTTTGCCTGGTAAATTGAAAAAGACGCAATCTGAACCTAGTCTGTCACTTAAAGCACAAACACGCAACACTCATGATGATAAATTTAAAATTATTTTGGCCCTTATGCATAGCCTAAGTTTTCATGTTTTGACCTTCCCTCGCATATACAATGTTAGGAGTTCGACTGACGTTGAGACGCATAATTTTCAACGTACTTTCGATTCGCACTGTTGCATTTCGGTTTTACGTAACGGATATAGATACAACCACCGCTCCTAACTGTTAGTACCACATCAAACCTAGTTTTAAATGCTTTGTTTTGTTAAAAACCGTACACGTTATTAATTCACCACCTGGCTGGTCTTATGAAAATTATTGGCATATATAGTAATCCCACTTGCTTGAAAACAAACCTCCAAATGAATTCATCTGTTACGGGGGTTAGTGGACCTATTGATGATGCACATTAGGCGTCCGCTGATTACCTAGACATCGATCCGCGTTAGTAACGAATTCGCTTACACGTGGACTAGGTAATCCCTTCAC